CCTGCAACCTGCTCCAGTCTAGAAGAACTTAATCAGAAACAGCCATTTAGAACAAAACTATTTCTGTACATTAAAACACAAAACCTCTAGGGTCCAATAGTATTTCCTAAATGTATGATTTTCTGGAAACCCAACAAAACAGTAGCATGTGTTGAAGATACACCAAGTGTGGAATATCTAATTTTGCATATCTCGTAATCATTTCAGGCTATTATTTTGAAGAAGTAGGATAATTCAATTGATTTTGATTTATAGAAGTTTCACTCTAGTTAAAAGTGGAAGAAAGAAATGGCTCAGAACTATCTGCAATTAAGAAGCGTGACAAATGACATAGATGGCCAAGTGGTAGTCTTTGATATTAGAAAGTAGCTGTACTTGAAAATAACTTTATAATTGAATAAGGGTACATTAGGAAAATATGATTCAGAACCAATATTATAGTAATTAGATAAAGGAAGCATAAATGAAATAACTTGAGGAAGAATATTTCCATAGAGATTATAAATGAGTTTCTGGTGGAGCAGAAAGGCCTTTAATTGTAATTTAGTATGCACTATAGAATTATCAGCTCAGTGTGTTACTTCATCATATAAAAGAATATCTGATAATTTTCCCTAATAAGCACATGACAGCTCTTCATATTCTTTCATTATAGCTGATTAAGTGTAAAAACAGTAGATACTCTTTTGTTGGAAAAGGAGTTGAAATCTTTTTGAAAAGACAGCACAAAGCAGTTGCATTTCCATAGCATATGATCCCAAAAGGCTATTATTTAGGAAGTCTAAGGAATTTTAAGTGGCAGTTTAAAAAACTCTTCACTTTAGTTTCTTTAGTCTTCCACTGTGTATTCTCCCCATTTTTACCCACAAAACCTTGGTCTGTAGAGCCACATCCTCCTGTGTTTCAGGCTGTACTGCATCACACACAAAAAGCCAAAATTATGGGGGAGTTCCTGGCCCAAGAAAAGATTCCTTGGCATTTCTAGCAGCTCTAAAAGCATAGGAATACAGGCTTGATTCCCAGATCAGTTATTCTGGGGACATAAGTGTGTCTCATTCTTCTCCTGAGCCCCACATCCTCCCCGTTTGTCTTAGTTTCTTAGTGCTGCTGTAACAGAAATACCACAAGTGGGTGGTTTTAAAGAACAGAAATTTATTTTCTCACAGTTGAGGAGGCTAGAAGTCTGAATTCCGAGTTCCAGCTCCAGGGGAAGTCTCTCTCTGTAGGTTCTCTGGGAAGATACTTGTCTCAGCTTCCTAACACCAGCGTTCCTCAGTTCCTTGGAAATCTCCACATGGCGTCTTTCTTTCCCCAATTTGTGCTTGCTTCTCTCTGTGTCTAATCTGCTCTTTTTGTATCTCAAAAGTCATTAGGTTTAAGAGACATCATACACAGATACAGCTTCATTAACAGAACAAAGAAAACCCTATTCCCAAATGGGATTACATCCACAGGCATAAAACAAAAAAAACCCAAACCTTTGGGTCAACTCAATTCCAACTCACAGCGACCCTACAGGACAGAGTAGAACTGTGCCATAGGGTTTCCAAGGTTGTAATCTTTATGGAAGCAGATTGCCACATCTTTCTCCCATGGATCGGCTGGGGGGTTCGAACTACCCATCTTTCAATTAGCTGCTGAGTGCTTAACCACTGCACCACCAGCGCTCTTTAAGATTCAACTTTCTAGCTCTGGCTCGCTTTGCTCTTTTTTTTTTTTTTTTCCGTTCTGCTGTATCTTGACCCAATAATATCCCAGGAAGGACATTTAAAATTTCCTAAAGATTCAACTTTAAATGTCCTTCCTGTGATATTACTGGGTCAGGATACAGTAGAATGGGGGGGAAAAAAGTGAGCAAAGGGAGTCAGAGCTAGAAAGTTGAAGCCATGAATTTAGGAATGACCAAATCACCTATGCCTGTCAGACATTTGACAAGACAAAAGATTCCTTAAAATGTCCCTTTTTTTTCCTTTTCTTTTCTTTTTTTTTTGAGCTCTTATGTGAAATGAAAAGAATGCAAACTGTTTAATAAAAGGCTCCCTTCTCAGGGAGGGGTGCTACATTCTCCAAGTACAAAAGCTTTTCTGCCACTCTGGTATTCACATCGCATATGGTACTATGGCCGGGCAAAGTCAGACAGTCTGACCTTGGGGATAAGGTGTTTGAAACTGGCTAATGAGGCATGCCATAAGCACTGAAAAAAAGTAAAAGCAGCAACCCCCGAAGAATTGAAATTAATATTCACAGCAACATAGCATGGTAGACCAACGGAGTCATTCTCAAAGAGTCAAATTAGGCCCTGATATTGTGTCTCCACATTTATCCTTAGGCTTGACACGTGGGTGGAGCTCAGTACAGATGTTTGAATGGGCAGATACATGAATGTCAGAATGCACAGATTCATTCCTTAAAATGCTGTCAATTTTTGGTCTTCTAATAACAAATCTTCGTAAAGCTCTGAAAGTTCTGAGGTAAAATAAAACAAATAATTAAACATAAGCATCCCTGTGGCCCTTTTCCTCACGTTAACTTTTCCCAAATGAATGTACTTCTTCTAAGGAAGACATTCAGTCAAAATGTTCATGTTAATTAGTCTAACTGAAGGGAAGCTTCTGCAGATAGATAGACGAGATAGATAGACAGAGAGATAGATAGACAGACAGGTAGATAAGTAGACAGATAAGAGAGATAGATGGATGATAGGTAGATAGATATCTATGTGTCGATTCGTATTTAATAAGTTTTTCATTATCTAGCCTGCTTGGAGAACAATTAGGATTTCTAGCTGGTCAAGTATTCTGGTTAATAAAGTGTTGTCTTCTACACAGAGATTGTAATCTTATAAGGAATTAAGTAGCAGTAGCTAAAGCAAAACGAAGAAATGATGCAGTAAAAGAGCTGAACAGAAGATTTCAAAGGGCAGCTTGAGAAGGCAAAGTAAAGTATTATAATGACATGTGCAAAGACCGAGAGTTAGAAAACCAAAAGGGAAGTACATGTTCAGCATTTCTCAAGCTGAAAGAACTGAAGAAAAAACTCAAGCCCTGAGTTGCAACATTGAAGGATTCTATGGGGAAAATATTAAATGATACAGGAAGCATCAAAAGAAGATGGAAGGAATACACAGAGTCATTATACCAGAAATAATTGGTTGACATTCAGCCATTTCAGGAGGTAGCATATGATCAAGAACCGAAGGTACTGAAGGAAGAAGTCCAAGCTGCACTGAACACATAGGTGAAAAACAAGGCTGCAGGAATTGATGGAATATCAGTTGAGATGTTTCAGCAAATGGATGCAGCGCTGGAAGTGCTCACTTGTCTATGCTAAGAAATTTGGAAGACAGCTACCTGGGCAACCGACCGGAAGAGATCCATTTTTGTGCCCATTCTAAGGAACAGTGATTCAACAGAATGTGGAAATTATTGAACAATATCATTAATACCACGGGCAAGTAAAATTTTGCTGAAGATCATTCAAAAAATGTTGCAGAAGTACATTGACAGGGAACTGCCAAAACTGAAGCCGAATTCAGAAGAGGACATGGAATGAGGGATATCATTGCTGATGTCAGATGGATCTTGGCTGAAAGCAGAGAATACCAGAAAGATGTTTACCTGTGTTTTATTGACTATGCAAAGGCATTTGACTGTGTGGATCATAACAAATTATGGATGACATTGGGACAAATGGGAGTTCCAGAACACTTAATTGTGCTCATGAGGAACTTGTACATAGATCAAGAGACAGTCATTGGAACAGAACAAGGGAATACTGCATGGTTTAATATCAGAAAAGGTGTGCTTCAGGATTGTATCCTTTCACCATACTTATTCAGTCTGTATGCTGAACAAATAATCCGAGAACCTGGACGATATGAAGAAGAACAGGACATTAGGACTGGGGGAAGACTCATTAACAAACTGTGATATGCAAATGACACAACTTTGCTTGCTGAAAGTGAAGAGGACTTGAAGCACTTACTGATGAAGATCAAAGACTACAGCCTTTATTATGGATTACACCTTAACATAAAGAAAACAAAAATCCTCACAACTGGACCAATAAGCAACATCATGATAAACAGAGAAAAAAATTGAAGTTGTCAAGGATTTTGTTTTACTTGGAACCACAATCAACGCCCATTGAAGGAGCATTCAAGAAACCAAAAGACGCATTGCACTGGGCAAATCTGCTGCAAAAGACTTTTGAAAGTGTTAAAAAGCAAAGATGTCACCTTGAGGACTAAGGTGTGCCTAACCCAAGCCATGGTGTTTTCAGCTGCCTCATCTGCATGTGAAAGCTGGACAACAAATAAAGAAGATCAAAGAAGAATTGATGTCTTTGAATTATGGTATTGGTGAAGAATACTAAATATACTATGGACTGCCAGAAGAACGAACAAATCTGTCTTGGAAGAAGTATAGCCAGAATCCTCATTAGAACAGAGGATGGTGAGATATGTCTCACATACTTTGGGCATGTTATCAGGAGGGACCAATCCCTGGAGAAGGACATCATGCTTGGTAAAGTACAGGGTCAGTGAAAAAGAGGAAGACCTTCAACGAGATGGATTGACACAGTGGCTGCAACAATGGGCTCAAGCACAACAACAGTTGTGAGGATGGTGCAGGACCGGGCAGTGTTTTCTTCTGTTGTACATGGAGTCACTATGACTTGGAACCGACTCAATGGCATCCAACAACAACAGCATGCGCTTAAACACTGTAACGTTGATCATCATTTTTGGTGATGTAGAAGTCCCTTGAGCATCCTTTAGTGACACAAATTCACCATGGGGGAGCATCAACATCAATTATCATTCTGCCATGGAATATGGCAGTGTTGGTAAAATATTTTTATTTGGTAAAATCCTAGATATTTACCAGACAGTGAGATAGAGAGAGAGTTTATAGTCAGCCTTGCTCCATAAAGGATTTAAGACAGGAGTGGGTATGATTACTTTGCCAGCCTGCAGACTTAATTGTTGTTCCTTCCAGGAAGATCTCCAACACTTGGCTCAGCACTGGCTGGTTCACGATGACGATTGCGCTGGAGCTCTGTGACAGGATAAATGTTTATGGAATGGTGCCCCCAGACTTCTGCAGGTAGGATTTATTTTGCAAGTGTAATTCATCAGTGGTGGTGTGCAGGGTTTATAAATATCTGATTCCCAATAGCAACCACAAAACATGTCTAACTGTCTTCTTGGAGCAATTAATTAACATGTCCCAAGTCCTGGTTCTAGAAACAACAAACAGCATTTAATTATATAATATAAAATATTGAAAGTTTTTGTTCGTACTGCTGGAGAAGTAATCCATCTTGTGGGCTTCATTTATCCTGTGAATATTTATCAGCCAAAAGCAACATAATAATTGGCATATTATTAATGATAATATTAAAAGCATTAAATATTAGTTTTCTCCTTATTTGAAAGGAATGTGGTACTTTTTAATGCATTAAAGAGGGCAATTCCCTTGATGGTGGGGCCTGTTTTCTAAAATTAAAGTATTCCTCTGAGCCTCTTTTCCTTGCCACAACTGCAGCCTCAGTTTGTGTTTCTAAGGCCAAGAGCACAGGCCTAATTATTTTGATGTATCAAGCTAAAGGGAATATGCATGCATCTTGGTTGCTACCTTAAGTTACTTCCTGGCATGTGCCCAGGCAGAATTTGGTGTGTACCAGCAGATGTCCTGAGGAGTATCCAGGGTCTGATTTGTGGAAGCCTGCTTGAAAATATGCCCATAATTTGAAGTAGTGATGCCAATAAATTCAGAAAGTGCCCTAGTTTTTCAGAATGCCTGATGACCTGCACTTGGGCTCAATCCTGATCTTTAAATGATAAAACCTAGGGTGGGAGGCATTTTAAACTTGCTTGTTAAAATTTGTATTTGCTTATACTTCTGTGTCTTATAAATCTAACAACTTCTTGAAGGCCATGGGCCTTTAGGCAAAAGCTACAATTTGGAGGTGTGAAGCAACGATGAGAAAGAATACTTAATCATGCCATTACCACTTGGTCACTCTTCTTCTACCCTTTTAAACCCAAAGGCCCAACACAGCAGCAGGACTAGTTTGTATATAAGAGCCAGGTCACCAGAAGGAGAAGGAAATATGTGGACAGAGGAGGGCTTTGACATTTGCCTGGACTCACCTATCCCCACTGGTGACATAATGCAGTGTGGTCTGGAGCCAGGTGGCACAGGTTCAAAGCCCAGCCTAGCCACTTACTAATCATGTAACCTTGAGCAAGGTGCTTAATCTCTCTGTGTCTCAGTTTCATCATCTACAAAAACGGATGTGATGATAATAATAGACTCTGCCTCATAGAGTTGTGGGCAGATTAAATAAGTCAATACATGTTAAGCATTTGGAACAGCACCTGGCACATGGCAAGCAAATGGTAAGAGTTAGCTTGGATCCTCATCCTGTTCCTCATCAATTATCTCCCTGATCTGGTCTCCCTGTTCAACAACCCATGTGCAAAAAGTACTTAAGAGGGTATAAAAAAAGCAAACCGCCTTCTCAAATCAACAGACTAACAAAGGCAGTGGGAACACCACTTGTGGGCATGCAAAAAGCTGTCATAGTTGATGTCTATACTGCTGATATAATTATGTAATATTGCCATTAGGATGCCAGAGATAAAAATCATGAATAAACTGAAATGTTAATGGCTTAGAGTGATCAAGGAAATATTCCATTTATTATGGAAAACAAATGAAAGGCAAGTTAACCTGTCATGTCTCTTACTCAGAGTTAGTTCATCGTGACTTCATGTACAGTAGGATGGAAACACTTTATGTAATGATACTCACAAGGAAATCAAGATAATGTCAATGCGCTAGATGTTGCAGCCAGCTCTGGGTTTCTGTTCTGATCTTACCATTCCAGAGAATTGATGGCTTTTTCTCACAAGATGCTTTCTGCAAGAACTCTTCAAAAGAACCCTGAGTTCCTCAGGAAAGTGAAGTTTGCTAAGTGCCATCTGGTGGCGAGGGTTAGGGCTAGAGGGAAAATCCTCCTCTAAGGCATAATGCCTGTTTTGGGAAGGGTGAAAAGGGAAAGACCAGGAGCAGCACAGACTTATTCCTAAATTCCTTGACTCTTCATTTCCAGAAACATGTTGCCTGAACCACCCACCAGGCACCTAGCATGGTGCTTAGGAGCCTCGGTTTGGGGGCAGCAGAAGTAGATTTGAAATGTAGCTCTGCCAGTTCCTAACTGGGTGACCTTGAGCCTTATTTTCTTCATCTGTAAAGAAAATAGTAAGGGCAAGTAGGTTATGGTGAGGATTAAATGAGATAATGGATGCAAAATGCTTGATAGCATACCTAGCATATGGTTAGTGCTCAGTAAAGATTATCAACATTATACCCAGCACTTGAGAGTTGCCCCGAAAGATTTCAAACACTGTGGAGGATTCAAAAAACAGGACACAGCTTTTGGCTTCTAGAGGTTATGATAAGCCTTACCCACAACAAATATAGTGAACATAGCAAAGCCACTTGCCCTGTGAATACAAAAGAAGGTGGCTTTCTGCAGTACTCATCCAAGAGTCAAATTACTCTTACAAATGGTGTCTGCCATCAGAGAATAAGAAAGCAACTTGTCAGTCAGTCCTGTTACTAGTCTAACCATTCCTTATCTCATCTTTATTTTGAAAGAAGCTGAATCCTTTTGGCAGACAACTGTAAGAGGGCAAATCTATTAAATGCCAAAAGCATGGTACAACAATACTGCGGAAGCCAGCACAACTTGTACAACGCAAGGTCATGGAAGCTCCATAAATACATCCAAACTCCCTGAGGGACCGAATTACTGGGCTGAGGGCTGTGGGGACCATGGTCTTGGGGAACATCTAGCTCAGTTGGCATAACTTAGTTTTTAAGGAAAATGTTCTACATTCTACTTTGGTGAGTAGCTCGTAAAAGCCTCTGAGTGGCCATCTAAGATACTCCACTGGTCTCACCTCTTCAGGAGCAAGGGAGAATGAAGAAAACTAAAGACACAAGGGAAAGATTAGTCCAAAGGACTGATGGACCACAACTACCACGGCCTCCACCAGACTGAGTCCAGTACAACTAGATGGTGCCTGGCTACCACCACTAACTGCTCTGACAGGGGTCACAATAGAGAGTCCCAGACAGAGCTGAACAAAAACGTAGAACAAAATTCTAACTCACCAAAAAAAGACCAGACTTACTGGCCTGACAGAGACTGGAGAAACCCCAAGACTATGGCCCCTGGACACCCTTTTACCTCAGTAATCAAGTCACTCCTGAGGTTCACCCTTCATCCAAAGATTAGACAGGCTCATAACACAAAATGAGACTAAAGGGGCACACCAGACAATTAAAAAAAAAAAAAAAGCATGGTACATGTGCTGTGACCTCTAGGACTTAAGGAGATAAGAGATCACCAGGGCCCAAAGTGGTAAGTAAAGGTTTTGTGAGCTGATCTAGTCCTCCAGAATGTAAACTCCCTGAGAATAGGAATTTTGGGCTGTTTGGTTCATTGTTGGAGTCCTAGTGCATAGGACAGTCTATATTTACTGTTCTGGCATATAGCAGTGCTCCATAAACATAGGTGAGTGAATGACCCTGCGCTCCACTCCCTCTTAGTGCTGTAGCCAAAGGGCATTGGTATATGAGTCAGAATACCTATTTCTGCCTCTCAGAAGCTGTGACCTCTAGAAAGCTACTTGACCTCATTGAGGATTAATGGGAGCCCTGGTGGAGCAGTGGTTAAGAGCTCACCTGCTAAGCAAAAGATCAGCAGTTTTAACCCACCAGCTGCTTCTTGGAAACCCTATGGGGCAGCTCTACTCTGTCCTATAGGGTCACAATGAGTTGGAATCAACTCGATGGCAACAGGTTTATGGAGGCTTAATGACCTTAGAGAAGTTATTAATGACTCTATGTCTCAGAAACCTTGGTTTCCACATTTGTTAAATGGTGTTGATGATAGTACTTACCTCAAGAGTTTATATGATGATTCCATGAGGTAATAGATGAAGAATTCGTGGCATAGTCACAGTGTATGTTAAGCATACAGTAAGTTACCAGTTAAAAGGACACACTGATCTGCAACTGTGGATATCCATTATTAGCACCTTTTAAGGTGGTGCCCAGATAATACCAAGTAATGATGCTCAGTTGGGGGGGAGGGAAAGCTGGTTGTTGGAAAGGGAGGGATGAATGGCCTGTAGGAACTGGATGCTGGATTTCACTTTTCTTCACCATTCACATGGTCTCATGTTCCTTGAGGGAAGATAGACCTTCACAGTGTATCTAGCCATTCTATTGCTTCCTTAAAGTGCCCAGTCTCCCACTAAATAAAGAATTAGCCAATGCAGCCAGATTCTGCAAGCAAAGAGCACCAACTGTTCATTTTGGAAAATTAACTGTTCATAATTGTTGTTGTTAGCTGCCATCAAGTCAGCCCCCAGCTCATGGCAACCCCACGCACAACTGAGTAAAACGCTGCCTGGTGATTGTGATCTATAGGGTTTTTGCTGATTGATTTTTGGAATTAGATCACCAGGCCTTTCTTCCTAGTCTGTCTTAGTCTAGGAGGTCTGCTGAAACCTGTTCATTATCATAGCAGCACACAAGCCTCCAGTGACAGTCAGGTGGTAGCTGTGCTTGAAGTGCATTGGCTGGAAATCGAACCTGGGTTTCTTGCACAGAAGGTGAGAATTCTACCACTGAACCACTGCTGCCCCCAATAAGACATAGTTAAACAAAACAAACAAACAAACAAAATCCAGAACCTACTGCTGTCAAGTCGATTCCGACTCATGGTGACCCTATTGGGCAAAGTAGAATTGCCCCGTAGAATTTCCAAGGAGCAGCTATTAGATTCTAACTGCCAGCCTTTTTTGGTTAGAAGCCAAGCTCTTAACCACTATGCTACCAGGGCTCCAAGACGCAATTAGTCTCTTCAAAAGAAGTCATTTACTAAATTAACCACAGAGACTTTAATTCATTCAACTAACTCGTGTTGGGCACTGGCAAGGTAATCAAAGATGAGTGAGATGGGATCTCTGCCTTTAGTTGCCTGAGTCTCAGCTGAAAGCAGTTCGGTCATGAGATACCAAAGA